AATTGATTAGTTAGCAATAATCGATTTGTAATCGATTTTTAAAAAATTTTCAACTAACTAATCGATTACATTTTTTGTTCTGATTCATAATACTAGATGGGCACCGTGCGTGATGCGCGGAATTTTTTAACTACTGTCCAGGGACACGTAAAATTATTCGATCTAAAGCAAAAATTTTGATAAATTTCGATTGAATTACAACGCAATCTCTTGTCAGAATGCATCGGAACTCTGGTCGGATGAGCCGGAATTTATCAATTTTGACCAAGATCACTAAAAATTTTACTAATGAAATCATAATCGTTTATTAAGTAAAAAAATGCCCAGCTGATGATTTTATTATAGCTCCTGTTAACTAGTATAGCTAACCCTAACCTAACGCCGATGCATTCCGACCAGGAATTTCGGGGATTGCCCTGGAAAAAATACGAAAGATGACGACATCATGATTACCGATGAAATCTGATTTTTCCGCATGCAACTGCGGTAGTGGCGCTACTCACATGACCTGTAATTTTGAAGGCCGCCCTGGTGGGTTCGCCGGTTATTGCAAAATCATGTATGCGGAGAATTTTGAGTTATCTGTTATTAGCCAATAAAGTTCAAAAAAGTACAAGTCAGGTGATTATAATCACATGTACAAACCGGTTTATTTATTTAACCAATCAATTTATGTTCACATGTTGCATTAAAGTGAGCGAATTCATATCGATATAGTAAAAATCGTAAATTATGCACATAATATTGATTTAAAGTAGGTGTCATCTGTACTATTTTATCCCGGGCAAGACAAAAAAGCATTAAATTTTACACGAAAATTAGATCCTTTTTACCATTACTTTAACGTATGGCTACCTCTGTTTATTTATTTACATAAAATTATCATTAAACAAGAAGTAAAATGAATGCCATAGTTTAACATATGAGTTTAGAATATGAATATTATGAATTAATATGCTATATATCGGCGAGGTCAATTCCCAATGTTTCTATGCAATAAAATTTCATTGATCGAGAATGATAACATACACACACACACAGTCATCTGCACCGTGTGTTCAGTTGTTTGCCTTATAGAGCTATGATATTAATTTTTCGAAAAAAAAAAATTAGGAATCAGGGATTAACCAAAACATTTTATACGCAGAGTAAGTAGGCGAGGTTATTGACGAAAATTGATTCATATGAGATTCAATAGAAGGTTGTTCGATCCAAGAGATATCAACCTATTCAGAAAGAGATTATATGACAATATTTGAGAACTGTACAATGATATAACAATTTTTTTTAGGCAAGAAATTACCCATTCAACTCTAAGCTTTCCGAAAACTTGAGCAATTTTGAAAAACTGTTCTTCGCCTAACCCACGTTGTTTATAGATTCCTAAAACTCGTGTATTGCATTTCATTTCACTTTCCAAATTCGTTTCTTTTTCAAAATAGGTATCCTGATCGTTTCCATGTTTTAAATGACTAAAATAACGAATGGTTTTGACCAAATCTTTATGTAAATCTGGTAGGTATAATATTTCTGATGCTAGAATTATATCAAATGATGGCATATTTGATTTATGAAGTGGGTTTGTTGTATCTTCAGTGGTCGGTAGTGATGTCCTACAGTATTTATAATAAAAATTATTAATGATGGTAAGGTAATTTAATCACGAAAACATAAAGACATACCAATCTAAAATATGAACTTGAATATTGTCTTTATTTAATAAATCTAAATTTTGCGACATTTTTTGTGTATGAACGTTTCTACTTTTACTTTCAACTATTTCAACTAAATCGTCTTCACCTTTTTTGTTGTACTCAAATTGGTTTTGTTGTTGATTCATAGCATGTTCAACATTTTGTTTAATATTGAATTTTGTGTGTTCGATATCTTGGGGAGTACCTGTACAAACTACATATCCACCTATTATAATAAACAAAATTAAATAATTTGATGTGCCGTGAAAAAAAATATATAGATAGATAGAGTACCTGTAAGCCAAGCAACTAATCCAACAAGACCACATCCCGAGCCTAGTTCTATAAATCTGATTTTTCTTCGCCGGCTGGTGTCAGCCAAATGATCAAGATTAAGGTGGTCTGCTATGTATTTGCTTAATATATATGCCTATAATTAAAACGAATGCCGTATAAGAACGATAAAAAAAAAACTTGGTATAAACGATGAGCTAGATAATATTATGATTACCCCATCCCAAACTATATTCCCAGTATTTTGTGTAATATCAATTGGATCAGATAATTTTTGTGATATCTTGACTTTAAAATTCCGTTCGAATTTCACGTTAAAAAAAAAGAATTAATATGTTATATCGATATTTTAAAAATTGCATTAGATACAGGAATTTTGATTATTTACGAGTGAATCCATTAAAAACAAAAATTCTCTCAGGATCTTGCTTATAATTTGAAAATGGATTATTATATTTCCATAATACCAACGCTCTGTCTTGGTTATTATCATTATCGTTATCGTTATCGTTTTGTTTAGTATTAACTGTAACCGTTTCCATATTTGATGAGTGTTAAAGAAATGCCATTATTATGATAATGTAACAACTGGGTGGATATAAATAGCTAATTTGTAACACCATCACCAATAGTTAAAGTATATGCGTGGATGATTTAACGTTAAGGAATGATGTTATGGTCAGTACGAAAAATGATATTAATTTTTATTATTTATTTTAGGGTCATGAAATATGTTACAAGGATATTACATTTTAATCGTTATTCAACTTATTTTCAAACAACATTCTTCTCGTTGGTTAGTAATCAACCTGGCTTACCGACCTTGTAATAACAACTTCCCATATCAAGTACAACAACGTACATACGCATGTACAGTACGTACGGGAGATGTGGTGTTAAGTATGCGTACTACCGATTTGTTGAGTATAGTATACGTTTATACTATAGAGTATACCTATTTGTACTTATGAGTACAATACTCTAAAAAATTTTTTTATACTTATAAGTATATTATATTCATAATGCCGGGGGTTCTATTAATATGTACAAGGGTGATAACGTGACTGCATAATTATCTTTTGTTACACATAATACAATCTTGGCTTTTTCGTTTAACAGTAAAACAAATTTTTAGCGATAAACCAAATTTTTAGTAATAAAGCAAAAGCCCAGAATAGAACGCTAGACCATTTTTGATATCTTTGGTAAGTGGGCTTGTTTTTTCTGTTTTATTTTTTCTAGTTGTACTTTCCAATAATCTTTTATCTCGCTTCATGATATTTATTTGCTATGATTCTTGAGCGATACTTTTAGTCGGATATATTGTGGGTAAGTTGTTCCTTTCAGCTTTCTTTTTTTTTTTTTTTGTTATTATTTTTCTTTTATTAACCTTTTTTTTTTGCTAATACTTATTTTTGGGTGACTTTTAAGTGATACCTTCGGATTAATTTTAATTGCCTAGTGCTACAATGATTTAGATCTTGAGCTTCTTTAATACTTTCACTATTCTAATTATTTTGAAATCAATGAACAGAAATGGTGAATGTAAAGGTGATGAACATAAACGTGAAGGTGATGAGTATAAAAGTCATGAACATGAAAGTGATAAATGTAAAGATAGCAGGCATAAAGATGGTAATATGAAGATGGTAACGTGAAGATGGTAAAGATAATAAACATGAAAGTAGTGAACATAAAGTGATGAATATAAAGGTGGTGAATCATAAAGTGATGAATGTAAAGGTGGTGAATATGAAGGTAGTAAATATAAAGGTAGTAAATATGAAGATAGTAGATATGAAGGTTGTGTACAAGAAAGTAGCGAAGTATAAGTTGTGAACATAATAACTATGTAAATAGTAAGCATGAGGTGATGAACATAAAGGTGGTAAATGTATAAGTAATGAATGTAAATGTAAAGATGGTAAATGTAAGGTGGTAAATATGAAAGTAATAAATATAAAGTTGGTAAGGATAGTAAATCTGAAAAATACATATAATAAATATAAAATAATAAAGAAAATATAAAAGTTTTATATATAGAATAACAGAACTTATATTTTATTAATTACCGGTAATTTAATTAATTGTTAATTTATAAATTAATAAAGAAAATATATATAGAATAGCAGAAATTTTATTTTATTAATTACTAGTAATTTAATTAATTGTAAAATTTTTACAATATATAAAAAAATAAGTTTTAAAAGCAAATAATACTATAATTATTTATTCATCTATAATATTTAATTTAATTTGTTTTTCTTTAATTAAGATTTGTTTAAGCTTAAGTTCTGCTTCACGTTCTTTTAAAGTCATTTCTCTTTCTTGTAATGCAATTCGACGTTCCATTTTATCCAAATCATCATCATCTATATTTGGTGAAGAATCTTGATTTTTAGATGCTGTTCGAGATTTTTTTGCTGATACTTTGGGTTTTGAATTAGATTTTTCATCAGATGGTCTTTTTTTAGATACTTTTTGGGCTTTTATAATTTAAATATATTTTAATAATATTTAAATTTAATTTCATTGTAATATAATTATAAAAACTTACTAGTTTTTTTGATAGATTTTTTTGTTCTTGATATAATTCCATGATTAGATCCGTGCAATGCAATACCACTTTTATTATGAGTTTCAATAGTATGAAAAGTTTTACTATTTTCTAATCTTGCTCTAAAATATATATACCAGTATATTATTAATATATTAATTTTTTATACTATATATATATTAATAAAAATTTATAAATTACCTTTCAATAGCAATTCTTAAGTTAAGATTTATTCCATATCTATTAATTTTAGCATGACAGCTTTCAGAAACATTTGTATTATTAGGAGTAGAGTACCAAGTTTCAAGTAAAATTTGAGAATATATTGGATTTAATGATGCTAAAACCCAATTTTTACTGTAAAATTCAACCCAATCTAAAAAATAAAATTATAAATATTTAAATAAATAAATAATAATTATTATTAATTAAAAATTATTTATTTACCTTGAGCATTAGAGTTTAAATTTATAATTTGTAAAAAAAGTTCATTTATTTCATTTTGATTTTCACATTGTACTAATTTGTACATTAAATTTTTTACTTCATTAGAATAATCGTTATTTTTAATATTTCTAAAATAAAAATAAATAATAAGTAGAATTAAAAAATAATTAATAAATTAAATAAAATCTTATTAAATTTTACCTATTAAAATGTATTAAACATGTTTTAAATATTGCTTGAAGATGCTCTTCCCAATTTTTTGAATTATCAATTTCCTCTAAACATAATTCAAGACCTTTAGCTTGACCTTGATCTAAATTACCAATTATACACTTCCATCCAGAGTTATGAATATGATAAAATGTTGGTAATTGATCAGTCAGTTTTTTAATATAGTGAAATAGCAATTTAAATATTTTACAATATGTATTTGTATTGCAAATATTAATAAAAACTCTGGCAAATGTAAGTGCTATAATAAATATATATAATTAATAATAAATAAAATAAAATATAAATATTTAATTAACTTTAATAAATACCTTGATTATATTGCTCAGAATAATAATTAACTTCAAATTCTTTTATTTCACCATGAACACGCTTATATGAAAGATCAATTTGAAACCATTCAACTGTTAACCATTGTAAAGCTTGTTGTTTTGACATACAAATAACTATAATACCACCATTCTCAAAAGTTCCTAAAAATAAATAAAGTTTTTTTTTAAATATAATATAAATAAATAAATAAAATATAATAAATATAATATATATTACCAATTTCTTGAAGATAGTCAGAGAATTCATTATTTCCTTGCCACATATTGTAAACTAAACTTAAGATACCTTGTCTATATGGATGTTTTTTTCTTTGATATTTGTTAATAAGATATCTTAAATGGTCAATATTATTTAAAGAACTATGTATTTCAGAAAAAAATTCTTTTCTAAAAGTAGCTCTTAATATATTTCCTAATAATTATATAAATTTAATTAATATTTGATTTAAAAAAATTTAAATTAAATAAATATAATTAAATATACCAGATAAAATTTTTCGTAATGTTATATTTTCATATTCATTAGAAGCATTTTCTAATAAAGAATTAAATTGATATTGGATACTTTTTGGAACTTTTGATGGTGGAGGTGGTGGATGATTATGAATTCCATGACAAATTAAAACCACAAATGGACATTCATCAAGATTATGTGGAATTAATTTTATAAAATTAACTTGACACTGTAGACGAATAATCTTTCCATGACAACCAACAGTATTATTTTCACCTGGATGATAAAACTCTAAATTAAAATAAATTATATTTAATATAAATTATAAATTTTATATTTTAAATAAATAATAATTTAATTTAATATATTATTAATAAATAAATTTTATTTAATATATATTTAATAAAAGTTTAATTTAATACTTACTACAATATTGTAAGCGTGATGATGTTGATAGAACAGTTTTGCAAGTTTGTAAAATTTGATTTTTAATATTCTATAAAAAATAAATAGTTATTTAATATAAAAATAACCTTTATAATACTATAGTATATATTTTTAATTAATTACCTTTTTTCCTTGAAAAAGTTTTTCAAGTAAATTAATATCAATTTGATTTTTATTTAATATATGAAATATATGTTTTTCATGAGGATTCCATTTTGAACATCCTATAAATTTTGTTACAGGATCGTTGTCATTTTTTCTTCCTAATTGACAAATCATAGGACGACCAGGGCAATTATTATTGTTATATGGACAAGAAATGTTTGTAAATGAAAGATATTTATTAAATAAATAAATAATAAATCAATTAATAAGTAACATAATAAATAAAATAATTTAATTAAATAAATATAATTAAATATACCAGATAAAATTTTTCGTAATGTTATATTTTCATATTCATTAGAAGCATTTTCTAATAAAGAATTAAATTGATATTGGATACTTTTTGGAACTTTTGATGGTGGAGGTGGTGGATGATTATGAATTCCATGACAAATTAAAACCACAAATGGACATTCATCAAGATTATGTGGAATTAATTTTATAAAATTAACTTGACACTGTAGACGAATAATCTTTCCATGACAACCAACAGTATTATTTTCACCTGGATGATAAAACTCTAAATTAAAATAAATTATATTTAATATAAATTATAAATTTTATATTTTAAATAAATAATAATTTAATTTAATATATTATTAATAAATAAATTTTATTTAATATATATTTAATAAAAGTTTAATTTAATACTTACTACAATATTGTAAGCGTGATGATGTTGATAGAACAGTTTTGCAAGTTTGTAAAATTTGATTTTTAATATTCTATAAAAAATAAATAGTTATTTAATATAAAAATAACCTTTATAATACTATAGTATATATTTTTAATTAATTACCTTTTTTCCTTGAAAAAGTTTTTCAAGTAAATTAATATCAATTTGATTTTTATTTAATATATGAAATATATGTTTTTCATGAGGATTCCATTTTGAACATCCTATAAATTTTGTTACAGGATCGTTGTCATTTTTTCTTCCTAATTGACAAATCATAGGACGACCAGGGCAATTATTATTGTTATATGGACAAGAAATGTTTGTAAATGAAAGATATTTATTAAATAAATAAATAATAAATCAATTAATAATTAACATAATAAATAAAATAATTTAATAAATAAAATAATAAAATTTTATTATTTACGCATATGTCTGAGCTTCTATAGATGTTTGTAGTTCACTAGGTTGATTTATCATAAAAAAGTCTTTATTTTCATCAACCTCACAATGTGATGAATTTCTAAGTTCATTTTCAGTATATTCACAAATTTTAACACCAGTACATTTGCGAACAACTTTTTTTACACAACAATTAAGATAGGGGCAATTGATTTTGTTGGAACCCCCACCACCTTCCATTGAGTATTGGATCTAAAAAAGCTAATATTGAATAAAAATTAAACGATTAAATAATTACAAAAAAAAAAAAATATTTACATCATTAAATGGAGCAATTGGATTAGATGGTTTTATATTAAAAACATAAGCAACTCCTTCATTGGAAGTTGCTGGATATTCAATTGGAATAGCTGAAAATCGGGTATCTCTTATGGCAAGTTCTTCTGTAAAATAATTAATTATTGGTGTTTCAAAAGAACTTTCATCATCCGTAGTATTTTCAATTGATCGAATATCCTCTATATTCTATTGACCAAAAAAGGTTCGTGCCAGTTAAATTAATAATTAACCAAAAAAGGTTCGTGCTATGTATATAATTATAGCAATTCACCGTTATATTAATTCCCAGGTCATCTAATTCAATAGTTAGAAAATCGCTTTCTGAAGAAGAATCAATTGTTAAATCAATTACTTCTTCATAAAAACTTGAACTAAAACTTTCTTCTTTCTTAATGTTATCCATGTAAGATTAAAAGATTTTTATTATTTTACGTAAGTAAAAAAAAAAATAAGAATCATATCGGCATGTTTAATAAAGTTCCCCATATACTACGTAATAGATATTTACAGTATAACATACTAGTACTGATAGTACAGTGATAATTATACGCAAAATCACATGAGTATAGCAAAACGTATACGCTAATAAATTTTATTATACTATACTGAATAGTTAATTTATACGCATACTCAACATATATATATTCAGTACGTACATACGTACGTACGTACGTGTGTGTACACACATATCAGATATCTGATATCAGATATACGGTAAGGGTAGTGACAAATATTATGTAATATTTTTTTACTATACCCTTACCCCCTCCCCCACGCAAGATAGTGGTAAAAATGCGGAATGGAGTCACATGATTTTCGACCAATGTCTACCAATCAAATTGCAAGATATAAGAAAAATTATATTCATTTGGCTTTAATTCTAACCCTGTCTAATTACAACATTGTTCAAGATATTAATAAAAAAACTTGATCTTTAATATGAGTAATATGTATTTAATATATTTATTAATAAATCAATGTGGATAAATGTACAACTTCTATGACAAACAATATAGCTATATATTCCATAACACAATATATAATATTATTGGCAAGTGAGTTTCATACATAGCCACAAGCTCTTTCAAATCAACTTATATACTCTTTCAACTTATATTTCTAGTGCACAACCCATTTGAACTGATATATGAATTTTCTTTGTTCTCTTGTTATGGTAAGGTCATGAATATAAATGCAGATCAACAAAGAAATGAGAAAAAAATACCCAAGATAATTAAGTTACCTACTGATCGATCTTTATATAAGATCTCAAATTCATATAATACATTCATATATTTATTTCAGTTATTCATAATTCCCATAAAGTCTGAATAGTCTAATGACTTTTAATGATGTATCGCTTGTGGCTAACACTTTAAAGTCTAATCGTAACTTGAATATAACTTAAATATTTGGTTAATAATTATTGTGGAGTGAATCTAAGAATGACTTACTAATAATATGTATATGCACATGATCGTTGACATAGTCCAGAGATGCTACCCTCAAAAAGTAAAGTAATTAAGGCAACATTTAAGGATAAATAATAAAATAATCAAGCTAATGTAAGTTAATTCATGTGAATATATATGCTTTTAGAAGTAGCTTTGATTTCATGAGAAGATTAAAAAAAAATTAAAACTAATTCACCAATCATATACTTGAGTAAGTAGCTCCTACATGTTAAGGTAATAATTTTTTCTTTATTAACAATATAAGTAGAGTGATAAAAAAGAAAAACTGATACAAATAAAACCTGTAAAAAAAGTTAATTAATATATATGATTTAGTTAGATTTTATACAGATATAAAAAGAATGATATATGTGAAGAATGTTCTTTTTTTTAAGCATTTCTTATTAATAGATTAGATCTTGTAATTTTCAAATTTCACGAGAACCTCTAAAATATAAAAAGATCATTAGTAAAAATCAAGGCAAACCCAAATTTCAATATTACTTGAAAAATAGATTTCAAATATTGATATTACAAATAACTTAATCATTATCAATAAGTTATCAAACATTTCTTTTAAGTTCAAAGTTCAATAAAAATTTTATTTATAAAAATCCAAAAACTAAATATAAAAACTTTACCAATGCATATATATATTATTTATATGGTTAAAAATAAACAACCAAATTCTGACCAGTCAACAGTCTGTAAAATGGCAGCTAAAAAATAGCAAAGTATTAGAAAACAGAAAGAAGTTAATATTGACAATGTAATTACACAGTATCTAAACACACCTTTAAACATTTAAGAAGTTTTTTGTCCTGTAACATCTCAATCACAAACTTCTATGGGTAGTAGTTCTTCACCTATCACTACAATTTCTACTATAATAATCACTACAGAATCATCTGAAAATAATATAGAGAAAATTCACCTTAATGCAGTTGTCTAAAAAAAAGCCATTGAATATAAACAATTGGCAGAAAAAAAACTAATTAAACTTAAATTTTCATATAATATTTCAACTAATATACAACTTCATAGAGAATTATTAGTAAAAATAAATAAGCTTCAGGATAAAATTCAAGCACAAAACTGACAAATTAACAAATTAAAAAGAAATGCATTATACTAGGCTAAATGTAGAGACAAAAAGCACAAAATGTTAAAAGAGCAAAATAAAGTAGTCAGATATAACCAACCAGGTAGACCTTCATTGTTAATGCAACATCCTGATTTGCTTAATAATATTCATGATTCGATTGAATATGAGGCAGCTGATATACGTAGGAGAAAAGAGGCAATAAAAGTCAGAATCATAAATCATCTTTGCCAAAACTTTGAAAAAAATTACAATATCTATATGTCTAGGTCTTCTATAAATAACTATCTTTTACTTTGATGATCTAATTCAATTGCGGCAAAGCTTATCACCACCCTGCTTGGGTTGCTGTTGCTGGAATTTCACGTGATGAAACAAAAGAATATTTAAATAAACATTATTGTCTAGCATAAGTCAAAGAAGCAAAGCAATTTGCCAAAACTTTTGTAGATGTGTCTGTAATAATATCTCAAGATGATAAATCTAAAATTGGTCTTGGATTACCTGCGGTAGGTAAAACTTTTCGTGCTTTACAATCAATTGCTAAACCAATTCGAGTATCAGATCATGACTTTCCCTGCTGAAGTGACTAAAAGTTACGTGTAGTACCATCAGTTTATCATATTATTCAACCAGATAAATCAAATGACGATCTTTGCTCTGGACAATTAGCAATATTTGTTCGCCCACAATAGTCACTAGGCACATCGTCTACAACACATATAAAGGATTTTTCTTTTCTCATATCAAATGCACAGTATATTGAAGCTTTAGCAATAAATGATGATATAAAGCCAATTTGGGTGTTATTAGTTGATGGAGGGCCTAATGAGAACCCTAGACATTTAAAAAATATAGTCTCATACTACAAGTTATTTAAAAAATTTAACTTAGATTTTCTTACTATACACACACACACCCCTGGACAATCAAAATATAATCCCATTAAGAAATCCATGGCCACACTTTCAGGTAAGCTTGCTAGAATAACACTTCCAATTAATCATTTTGGTAACCATTTAGATAGCCAAGGAAAATTTATTAATTTAGAGTTAGTAACACAAAATTTTTGTTATGCGGGTGAAGCTTTATGTAAAATCTAGAGTTGTGATTCTATTTTTGAAAAAAAGGTCAAAACAACCTATATTGATAAAGCTACTAACCTATTTGTTGAGCTTGAATTTATTGGTGAAGAACAGAAAAAGAAATTGAGAATATCACAGTACCATAGTTCTGGATAGAAAGATATTGCAATTTATGTCAGTATGCGCTTGATATAAAATAGTGTAACAATCTTGAGTGTTGTGACCCTATAAGAGCCGAAGAAGCTATAAATTTTCTTATACCAAGTAATGGCTTTCTTCCTCCTGTTATTAAAACATGAGATGACCACTACATAAATCCAATTCACCTTCTTCAATACTTTGACCAATTCAAAATACCCAAGTATGATTTTTATTGCCCTTCTCTCAACAAAGAAATCTATTTTCAGCTTTGATGTTCAGCTTGTGGCAAGTATTATCCTATTTGACAAAGCACAAACATCTGCAATATCCTTCTGCTCGTAGAAGGCTCCGAAAAGAAGTTTTAAAAACTCAAGTAACTAATTCTTCAACATTTGACAATTTTATGTTGTTGCCGTCACAAGATAGTACCCAATTCTTATTTGTAATAAAATTCTACTTAGAGAATATATATCAGATATGGAGTAAAATCTAGTATAAAATATTCGTTAATATTTATATATGTGGTTAAAATTAATAAATCATAGTTAGTGAAAATATATATAAAATTAAAACTTATCTTTTTTTTTGTGTAATTGCTTTCGACCAGAGCCTTGTTAGTTTACTATCACCATGGTTAACAGGATCAGTTTGCCATGTTTATTAAGATTAGAAATCGGTATTATTATTTTTGCTACTTCAGTCTGGGAATATACCAAATTTGGAAATCAGGTTCTAGAAAGATCTACAAGCAAGTTTTATATTTGATTGGTTGTTACACTTGCATGTATTCGTGCCAGGATTTTACAAGATTTTATATATCTATTTGTTGTTAAACGATATGTAAATAGATAGTAAAAGCAATGAATTTTAACAATCCCCAATAATCCCGCATAATAAGTTGTTTTCAGAAAGGTACATAAGAACATAAATTTATAATTGTTTTTTTTGTATATTGTTTAAATAAAAAGAAATAAAAAACGTATAGCTATGATTAATCAGTGATCATGCTTTCGAAATTTTCAGAATCAATTGATCAATCATATATTTCTATAAAAGGTATGATCGGCACTATCTATTTATGGTATATTCCCAGACTGTACTTATGTTTTATTTATAACAAGGATCGAACATTAGATCTAATTTTAACATACATAGTGGCATTTGATTGGCTAACTATAAATTTTATATTGAACTGATGGAATAGCGACATTTTATTGGCTAATATAAATTTATATTATTGAACTGATGGTATAATGGTATTTAATTGGCTAATTGTAAATTTATATTAAATTAATATAAGACATTGGAGACACCCCCTCCCCTCCTATGAATATTACGTAATATTTGTCACGCCCCTAACAATGGCATAGCCGAGTTTCCACGTGACAGACTTACAGTATTACACACGAAAATATATACGTATCAGTAGAACTTGATACGTATTTATGATATTTATTGATTTAAAAACAATTCTGAAACTATATCAATAAATTTACTTTACATAAGACATGTAATATAACAAAATAAAATATATATCTAAGAGCTAAAAATGAATTTCATTCTTACAAAAAGAATAAAATAAAATAAAATATATACGAAATCTGATATGGTAAAAAAAAGGTGCAATCATAAAAGAAAAATAGTATTGCTATAAAAGAACAAACAGTATTGCTATAAAAGAATGCTTTGCAATATAAAATATAAGATGTGATTATGAAAAAATTAACATCTGCAACTCGATTCAGAGCAGCCGCAGTTTTCTCCACAGTCGCAGATGCTATGGACGAAAAGTATAAGGGTTATTAGTACGAGAATTATTCATATCGTATCAGAACTCTTTTTTCAATAATTACCTATTACCACAGCCAGGGTCAGTTTCAACCTGTTTATCGACAAAAACTTTGGATTTGGTGCAATTGCAACCAGCGCACTGGCAAGAGTCTCCGCATCTGCAGTCGTCGCACATTTTGAGAAATTCTTAAGATTGAATAAGAAGTTTGAATAAAAAGTTTGAATATGTTGTTTGGTAGTTATATTTCAGTAATTGCGTTCTGATTTTGAGTGAGGACTTTTGGCAGGCGTATTTATATTAAAATCAACCATCTGTAAACAATTTAAAAATTGATTGTACATCGTTACGTGATGTATTAGCAAAAATCCCTCAGCAAAAATCCCTCATTTAAAGTAGCAAAACATTTATATTTATTTGTTATTTATATTGCATTTTAAATTGGTTATAAACACTGATTTGTCATGTTCTGATTATCAGTTATCGATTGCAAAATTGTTATTTACCGTAGAATCCTTACGTAATTTTTGTCATGTGGCTATGTGAACTAAAAATTTTCATTTTGGGTTATTTTGCCCCAAGAAAATTTTGAGTGATTTTTGCCGGAAAAACTGAATCAATAAAATTTTTTTTTTTTTCTTTTTTGCCTTATTGTTATCATTGTGCTTTTTTACACGAACAATTAAACATTTTTGTGTTTGATAAATAAATTATACAAACTAATTTACAGTTTAACAAGTGTTACTAACATCAATATGTGAACATCGTGTTTAAGAATAGTTTAAAGCAGTTAATAAATAAATATACAGTATACGTTATATTAAATATTTATTTTTGTAGAAAGTTCTACATTGAGATTTGGCTTTATTATAACCTAATGTATATACTCATTACAATTATAGTCTTATATTGTGGTTGGCGGTTCTTTGTTTTTTTTTTATTTATCTAAACATGAACGTAAACAAATAATTTCGATTTGATTATCAGTATTCGAAATAGAAACTATCTCTAGTCATTTTTGTATCTTATCTGCAGCAGAGCCTGTGGATTCTAGTAGCATCTAGCAAAAATAGCACAAAATAGCTACAGTACGTAGCAACATTGTTTATGATAAGATACGAAATTTGCTACTTTTGTACTAAGCATGTGACTATTACTTTAAACCAACTTATGTGAACGAGTAATTATATGCAGGGTTTAAATGATACTAAAATGATAGATTAAGATCACATTAAAGAGCATACGACTACATTAAAATTTATATTTGACAAACATAAAATTTTTACTAGCTAATTTTGCCGGCTAATTTTGCTTCTAACGACCACTGGCTCTGATCCGCAGGCACTCTAATTAGTTTTTTATAATATGTATCAAGCACAATAATATAATGCTTGAATAAATGCTTTTAGATAGATAAAAGAAAGGCTGTATAGTTTATGTTTATGAGCAGTAAGCACAAAAAATATTATTTGATTTTTATAAACCAAATTTCTGATATAAAATTACTTTATTATATTTTCGCACTAATTATTAGGAATGGTAAAGTCCAGTCCTGATCCAGTCTTGGTCTCATAACCTGTAGGGTTTTACTGCATGGACTTATGGACCAAGTCCTTATAAAACCAGTTTTAGGACTTTAGTTAACTTAGGTCTAGTCCAAGACTTAGTCTTAGAACTAGATCTGCTATATATATGTTGTAAAAGAGCGGATTTGAGGTGACTAGTACTCGCAACCTAAAACAACAAAAATCAAAGGCTACTCGAAAGAAGGCGTAGAAGATTTGTCCGAGAACCAAGGATCCTACTGCTACTAGGATCTTCGGAGTTTATCATTAGATGGTCTTTATTATTATAACACTTCACTTGTTTTCAGATACATGAAATCGATGGTTATTATACATTACAGAGCTTTGGGGCTTTGTTACTATGATTAGAATCTCTAAGAAATATGATTATTTAGAGTATTGGAGAATCTATGACTAACGATAAGTAATTCATACTCATTTAGTTCCCACCATAGGCGCCTTACTATTGTCCTCCAATGGAGCTTCGCCTCAAGCCAAATCTAATATGAATAATTTTGTCAAAATCAAATACCAATTGATTTAATACTAATTGATATAACCAACCAAATAAATCAAATAGAAATCAATTACAAATTTGTGCAAAAAACTTTATAAAAATAATATATATAATTTTTTATTTTAATAATTGGGAAGAATTTTGACTTAAGAGTTTTTATTATAGCTACAAGATTTTTTTTTCTGGTTGGGTATTAAAAGAAAATAAAAAAATTTGAATCTATAAGCTAGTAAAATAATTGATTGCAGAAATTAAACAATTGCTAGAAATTATGTTCTATATAGAAATAGCAAATTTATATTAAAAGATAAATATACAACAAATACATAAAAAATTATTACAAGTTCAATATAGTAAACTCTGTAAAGAAGATATATCTAAAGGTTCAACCATTCAAATCTAAATTTCTGGCTTTTTATGAAGATAGAAAAAAGCAAAGTACTTCATTCTATAGATAAAAATAAAGATTCTTAATAATATTTTTATTTTATAAATAAGAATAAAAGTTCTTACTAGCTTTTTATTTTATAGATAAGAATAAAGATTTTTAAAGCATAAAAACTATAAAATTGTATATACTTGTAAATATAACTTTTTTTTAATTTTAAAAGATGAGGCCTTGCTTATATCTTTATTGAGTAATATAATAATAATAAGTTATAAAAAGAATAAAAATAAATTAAATAAAGAAAAATTAATTGTTTACTATATAAAAAAAAAGAAATACTATATATATTATTTAATTAATTAGAATTGTTTATATTAAAATTAGTTAATCAAAATTGATTATATAAGCTACAAAATTTGTTGCTTTATAGTATAAATTAGATATTTTTAAAATATATTTATAAAAAATCAGCACTAATTTATTATAAGAATTTAGAATTAATTTTATGCTGATTCTATTATAAATATATTTTAGATTACAAAATCCAAATAAGGCTAAAAATATAAATATTATATACAGACTGATCAAACTTCATAAATAACCTCAAAAAATATCAAAAAAATATATTTTTTAAAAAAATATATAGATTTAGTTTTAGCAAAATATTTACTTTGAAGTAATAATAGATTTATAACAATATATACTTTATTGATTTTTGTAAGTTATATTTACGCTGCTATTTAACTATTCTAATATTTACAAGCCATACTTCTTTCTTTAATAGAAAAACTTCTCTATCAATAGCTCTACTAGACAATTTATTAAAAATATCTGCAAAACAAAAACTATTTCTATGTGGTTTTCACAAAACCATGTCTCTGAATAATCACACTTCTCTAATATTATAGATTGGAACTTTACCTGGCTTTATTTCAATAATAACCAAAAGAGATCATATAACTTTACTAATTCCAAGCTTAATTATCTTAAATCTTTTAAAATTAAAATATTACTTAACAATCTCCCTAATTATTCATACTTTTATTCTATATCACCTAACATATTTCTATCCTTCTATTGTTTCAATACAACTTTTCTGAATCCTCTACTTATTGGTATATCTGCTTCTATTATAACCTTTTATCACAAATTATTTATTTTTCTATTTCTGAAACTATTTCTAATTTTAATCTTAACTTTCCTTATTACGAATTAAACTATCTTATACATACAATCTTCTCTTACTCCTCACCACTTTATTCATACTCTCTTTACTTGATCCTTAGAAGCCTTATTCCTATTTTTCTTATTCAATACATACTACTATTTGATATTTCATACTCTATTGCCTCTTAAATTATTATTCAAGTTCTTATTAAAATCTCCAACCAACTTTACAATCAAATTTGGAAATTATTCTGTATTAACTTTTCTACTTCAAAAAAAGCATATCAAATATCTTCAAACTTTGTTTTTACTCAACCCATTGACAATTTTTCCTATTTTAGAACTCATAATA